TGACTACCGCTGTCGTAACAATATCACCATTAATTAATGTGCGCTTTGAGCGTCAAATGTGATGCTCATGCTAAGTTCTCTTCAAATGTCGTACGTTAACTCAAAACAAACAGTTCCTATTACCACGTTCACAAACATCAACTGCATAACAAATAAATGTAGTTATGTATCACATATGATACTCAGACGCTTTAGCATTATATCCCGTGAATCACGTGTGATGCACAAAACATAAATGGGGTTAATCTTTATAACACTAAAACTCGGATTTCGATACCCGTGATAGGTACGGCACAGATAGCTCATTCTGTAGCTTTTTACGTAAGTACAAACAAAACAAAAGACATTTTACTTAATCTAGTTCACACTATTACAATTGTTGTTCATGTAAATGAAATAAACAGACCCCAGACAAGTATTGTATCTGTCGTATTTCAGCTGGCCTGATGACCCCTGGTGTTAAGCGAAAGACCTCAACAACACTGGGTATGGCAGCTAGAGGGTTGACGTATTATTAGATATTTATCTTCACTTTCATTCATAAGATTAAAATATTTCTGTTTAAAAAAATCAAATATTCATTGCCATAAACTATAAAGAACCTACAAGTTCTTCTCCAATCTTTAAAATTTTAAACTTAGTTAATTAAAAACCTATTAGACTAATTTGTAATTCATTTGTATAATTTTTTCTTATGTATATAGTCATATTTCATCAATTGGTAGGTGTCGCTCTACTGCTCAGTGTAAATTAACTAACTAGAAATTTGTATCGTTGTTTTACCTTGAATAATTAAAGAATATTTGAAATGTCGACACGACTGTAAGTAACTTGTACTGTTGTAGATCAATGATTATCTCATTTGTGTTTTGTTTTGGTGTAAAGTATCCATAATCAAAATTTAGCAACTTTGAAACGTAATCCACCAGGATTATGTAAACACTAACTTAAGACGTGACGATAAACTTCTGTTTGAGTTTGAATCTTAGTTTTATTAAATTTTAATATTTGCAGGTAGAATGTTATTATAAGCACAAATATTATTCCAAACAAAACATCAGAATTGTTCATGTGTCTAAAAGTAGTCTAACACGATTATCCACTATATATGAAACAAGTTTGTTTTATTCAAAGAAACATAATTTTTGTTTTAACGTACTTCATCAATAATATTAAAAATTAAAGTTAAGAAGTAAACAGTCAATGTGTAATAAATAATAATAATAATAAATAAAAAACATTATTTCTTTCATTTTATTTCCATGAAACTTAATTGCTTTGAGCAAATGTGTACACATAGAATGTTTCTGAGTACTACTTGGGTTTCTATATTTAACTTTACTGAGTTTACATGAACCATAGATAGTGCAAATTTGACTGAGAAATTCATGTGTTTTAGATCATTTTTAACTTACTTCAGTTAAACTGACATTCCACTGCTGTTCATAGAATGTTTTCCAAAAGCTATATTTATGTGTCGCAAAATGTAATGTATTATTTAAATACTTAAATGATGTTTTTTTTATTTCCAGATATCCTCTTTTTGTTAAGGGAAATCCACAACTGCGAATATTTCTACCTAACTTTTGGATGAAACTTGTCAAACCTAAATATCCTATCCAACCAAACAATGTTCATTTTATTGTATCTATGGAGTGAGTAAGATGCATCTTTAAAAATATTTGTATAATATATAATATCACTAGTGTACATATAGTGCTATTTATTTGTATGTGTATGAAAAAAAAATCAATAATTTTCATCAGGCTCTGGACATAACATATATAAATTTGGTGAAGTGTATACATCGTACATTTTTATTAAGAAAATGAAATTGTTTACAGAAGATATTGAATCTTCTGTTGATTTTAGGTTAGATGCCATATGTTGTGTATCTTTTTCTTTTTAACAGTCAAGTGTGGGTCAAATTAATGTTGTTCCTGATTTTTACAAGCAGAAAAAAAAAATACAACAGACATATGTTTCTGAGTTTTATCATTATGTAAATTTCATTATATCATTTTGTTTACTCTTCATTCTAATTTTCAGAATGACAAAACATGATGTGAAAAACTATTTAGAAAAAATTTACAACATTCCAGTAGTGAATGTTGTTACAAAGGTTCACACAGGTAAGAAGAGCTGTTTGAATGGCCTGAATATTATTATTGGTTTAATTAGAAAATTTCATCTAACTCTGCTATTTTTACTTATGTAGATATTTTCACCCAGTAGCTCTAGCTCAGCACTTAAATCTTGTTGTTCTAGTCGCTCTTGAAGGTATTCAGGCAGGTAAAACAAGTTTTTAACAGTATTTGAATGACTTGTTAATTTAGCATTTGTTTGTTTTAGAAAGCTCTTTGAATATTGGTACAATCCAATTTATTCAGTAAAAATTATTTAGTTAAAACTTTTGAATATAATTTTTTTGCCGTTGTGGTAAACAACTTATTGTGCTCTAATGTTCAAAATAGAAACAATTCTACTGAATTTCCCAGTTTTTTACTTGTTCTTATCCCAGAAATACTGCATAGGATTATAATCCTTTGAAATTATTTAAACCCAGAGATGTGGACAATTTAACATCTTAAAGAGTTTTCATTGATGGAGAAAACATTAACAGACCATATAGAAATAATTAAAAATACATTTATATGAAGATGGGATTTATTTTTGAAATTTAAATGCACTTCTTTGATGGGTTTCAATTTTTTGGAAATGCTTTGATGAAGACCTATGTTAGTATATGGAAACCTTGTCTGTTGATCATTTTTATTACTAGCCGAAGCCTATTAAACTTTTCAAAATGTATTTATGAGTTACTTGTAAATTATGATGCACATCCCAAGAATACTTATTTCTAATTACCCTGTCACTAATTTGGTTTGATATAATATTTGTATGTGATAAAGAATTATGATTTTTTGTTATTGTTGTTTTTAGAGTATATAATCTTAATAGTTTTTTTCTTTTTAGGGGAAATACGCAAGGAAAAATTAAAAGGATACCTAGTGAAAGATGAAGATTACAGAATGGCTTTTGTTACACTGGTATGAATATGTAGTATTATTCACAACATGTTCTGTAGTAATTTCATTCTCATATATAACACTATTTAATTGTAAAATTATTTCAATGTTATCTGTTGTTTGAACTAATCACACTAGACATCAAAAGTAAAGAATGCAAATTTTAGCATTAATTATTTCATTGTAACTTATGCAATGTTATTAGTTTGTACATAGAGTTTTATGTTTTGAATCAACATCAACGTGAACATGTTATCTTTCTTTTTCACTTTAGTTCACACATGATCTTTCAGTTCTTCAGTTATGTGATATCAGGAAGAAACTAAATTTGTAACTTTCATTTTATTGTGGCAAAGTATAATCATGTGATCTAAAAAAGTAGCTTGTATATTTTAGATACTATATGTCAATATCTATAAAAAATTGTTTTTTAAAGAATTTACTTCTTAAAAAACCTCTAACTAGTATAATAATGTTACGACAGCGGAAGTCACGTGATGCTAGTAACACGTCATGAGATTCTCGAAGGATCTTGACTTTTCCTTGCAACTCTAGTCTTCACTAGTATATAAGCCCGGCAAATAAAGCGGAGATATAATTGCAGATAGACAGATATAGAGACAGATAATTGAGTCAAGTGAGCAGTAGTGACCGTAAGTAACGTGCGTGAATCGTTATAGCGTATGTTTAAGTTAAAGTGACTGTGAAAATTTTGTGTATTGCAAAGTTGTATTGAAAAAAAGAATAAACTAGTTTTATTTAAGAAAGGACTTGTATCGCTGAAGTTTCTCGGAAAGAATTTCTACGGGAAATTACCGAACAAGCAGATACGCAACAAACTGGTATCAGAAGTGGGATGAGAAAGAAAAAAAGAAGAAGATAGAAATAAGAGGTGGCAAATCAAACTACAGCTTAGCAGATTTGATGGCAGCAATACAAGAACAGCAAAAGAAACAAGAAGAATGAGAAAAGAAACAAGAAGAGAGACAACAGCAATTGCAAGAAAACCTGCAACAATGACAGCTCGACCAGCAAAATAAACAAGAAGAGAGATTACAGCAGTTGCTGGAGGAAAAATAAAAGAAACAAGAAGAGAAATTACAGCAGTGGTTGGAGGAAAAAGAAAAGAAACAAGAAGAGAGATTACAGCAGTTGTTGGAAGAAAAAGAAAAGAAACAAGAAGAGAGACAACAGCAATGGGAAGAAAACCTGCAACAATGGCAGCTCAAACAGCAAAATAAACAAGAGAGGCTACAGCAGTGGCAACTGGAACAAGAAAGGAAACAGGAAAAAAGTCTCCAACAGTTGCAGGAAAGTCAGCAGCAACTACAGGAAAGTCAACAACAGTGGCAAGAAGTACAAATGGAAAACATTAGTAAATTTCAAAGTGAATTAAATACATTAAAGGATGATTTACTGTCTTTTACACAAGGAGGATATATTAGCCATGGACCTAAACAGCCTCAGACAACAGGAAGCCCCTTTCAGACCCCACAGCTAAACCCTAAAGCAGACATCTTTAGTCCTGTCAGAAGTTACATTCCAGACATGAGTGTCAGCAATAGGGGTGATCTAGTACGACGGAAGCTACAGGAATTCGATGGGAAGCATATTTGCAATTTGAGCTCCTGGCAGAAATGAATGGATGGACAGAGGAACAGAAAGCAGTGTACCTGGCAATGATCTTGAAGGGACAACCACTGGAAATACTTGAACAGTTATCAGCAGACGATAGGCACAACTATAGAGCACTGGTAGCTGCTCTAGAACTCAGGTATGGAACCCAAAATCAGTCCGAAGTCTACAGGGCTAGGTTTAGGACGAGAGTCTGTGCTAAAGGGGAGAGCCTGCAAGAGCTGGCACACAAGGCCTACCCAACTGCACCATCCAAGGTCTTCAAGTTGTTGCTGAGGGATCAGTTTGTAGATGCCTTGGACAGTCCACAACTGAAGATACAAGTAAAGCAAGCACACCCCTCTACTATGCAGGATGCAATGGCCAGAGCTCTTGAATTCGAATCCTATGTTAAGTCCAGCACAGAGATACCAAGGTTGGTACAGTCATCAGGATTCAAGGCCAAAAAAGGGCAGCTTTCAGAGAGGTTTGAGTGACTTTGCTGGCACTGTAATAATCTGGGCACAAAAGAGCTCAATGCCGGCAACTT